TGCGAGGAGGCCATTGTCAGCGATGAGAAGGAACGTCAGCAGGAGTTCGAAGCTGAGTGGAAGGAGCCTATGTGCCTCAAGCCTGCGTTGAACCTGCCGTCTTTCAAGAGCTCGTCCTTCAGTGATCACTGCAAGAATTGTTTGCGAGGCCTCGCTGCAAACAGATACTGGTGCCAGCAGCGCTTCCATCGCTCCTGTCGCGACCTGAGCCCCCAGTGTCTCCTGTGTCGCGGAGCTCCAGGGACGCTGTTCCATCGTAGGTTCCACTGCGATGGCCACGACGAGTGGAGGAGAATGGCTCTGCGTGGCGATCTGCGGGCTGCCTCCCAGCAGGTCTCCCGTCTCAGGCCTCATGCCCAGGAGCTTTTTGCGCGCTGTGCCCTGCCTGACCTGACGTGCTGGTTTCAACGACCGTCGGAGCCTCCCGAGGCCACCGTGTGCAGGTACAACTGGCCTTCGGAAGGATTGTTCCTTGAAGCCGGTACCCAAGTGCTCATCGATAGTTCGTGTTATGAACCCTCTCTCCCTCGTATCCAGTCGGCGGGATGGGCCGTGGTGATTACGGACGGGTGGGGGAGTTCTTCGGGCGATCTATGGGCGGGTGCCCTTGGCAGGCGGTCCGCGATGGCGAAGACTTCGCGGTTGTCTCGCTCGTCCGTTTCGCTTCTTTGAGCCGTGGTGTACACATTCATTGTGACTGCTCGGTCGGGGACAATAGATTGTCTGAGGGCACCAGAATTGTCTGTCAACCCCGACAACTCCCGCTCCCATCTGTGGCAGCACGTTTTCGACAAACTTGAGGGGGCCGTGGTTCATAAGGTTCCTGCCCATAGCACTCTCTCCGATGTTGGAAATGGTAAATGAAGCAGGCTCCAGCACTTAGGTAAGAGGGCGGCCGACGAGCACGCCAAGAAAGGAGCCGCCCTTGGTAGGATTGCAGTACGTGACAGATTGGTCGTAGCAGGCTGCCATGAATTGGCTCGTCTCCTGCTCAAGTTCTGTGCTGAGCAGGAAGCCCGCATTGGTGATTCCAAGAATTTTGATCACGTCCCCTTGGAATGGCTGAGGACCATAAGCTGTGAGGTCCCAGACATCCCAAAGGATCATCCTGGCAACCCCCGTCGTCCTCCCGAGCCCCCCTCCTCCTGTGGCGGGTGGGGAGGCGGGTGGTGAGGGGACACTCCAGCGGAAGCGGTCCCCGGAGGCCTGCTGAGCAGCCCCTGGAGGAGGCCCCCGCTCGGGCTGAATGGTCCGATCTGCACGCCTGGCCCGCCAGGAAGCATTCCATGATAGAAGCCCCCCGTGTCCGATCCCAGCGGAGTGGCTGCTGGATCCACTGCCTTCTGCACCACTCGTGGAGGCATTGCTAATGTCGGGGGGCAATGGGGTCGGAGTTCGCTCACGTCAGAGTGCCTTGGGGGCCGATCGACGGGGAAAGAGCGGCAATTGGCTGATATTTTGCGTGGAGTGCACCTTTCCAAGAAGGGGATCCGCGTCGGCACCGCCACCCCCCTGTCCCAGCACGCTCAGGAGTTCCTGAGGCCCAGAATGGGGCTGGATGAGTCGCCTTTCCTCGCCCCTCCTGGCAGGTTGGCCAGTGGCAAGTCGAGATGTGCGATGGGAGTGGATTTGGTGCGGGGGCTCGCTTTGTTTGGATTTCCCTCGAGGGAGGCTGCTGAGGCGCTTGGCGCCCGCGCGTTTGAGCGCAGGCGCAGTGCCGCCCAGGCCCCCCTCGACGAATCCGAGCTCCCCTAATTGTGGTTGGTTGTGTTTGTCTCTTTTGTCTCCCCTCCTATGCATGTTGAATGCGATGACTTCTTAGTCGCTGGCGTGCTCCTCCTCCTCCTCCTCCTCCTCCTCCTCCTCCTCCTCCTCCTCCTCCTCCTCCTCCTCCTCCTCCTCCTCTCCTCCTCCTCCTCCTCCTCCTCCTCCTCCTCCTCCTCCCTCCTCCTCCTCCTCCCCCTCTCCTCTCCTCCTCCTCCTCCTCCTCCCCCTCCTCCTCCTCCTCCTCCTCCTCCTCCTCCTCCTCCTCCTCCTCCTCATCATCATCATCATCATCAGCATCATCATCATCATCATCAGCAGAATCATCAGCATCCTCCTCCTCCTCATCATCATTATCATCATCAGCAGCAGCATCAGCATCATCAGTATCATCGTCATCATCAGCATCATCGTCATCCCCATCATCATCAGCATCATAATCATAATCATAATCAGCATCAGCATCATCATCATCAGCAGCAGCATCATCACAATCAGCATCATCATCAGCAGCATCAGCATCATCATCATCGGGCTCCTCATCCTCATCCCCATTACCACGCGGATGAAGACGATATCGAGATCACGACCCTCCCAGGAGGGTCGTGATCCCGAACTGCCACGGGTTGTGAACTCCTACCGCGCGGACGAAGACGAGGTCGAGTTCACGACCAGTCCTTATCATACCACTTGTCAGAATTACGCGGTTCCTAAACTCAGCCTCCTTCCTGCAGCGCTGTTGCACAGGCACGCTGACAGGGTTTGCCGTTGGCAGCTGCATATTATTCTTATGGTCATGTGTTTTCTTATTAGTAGTATTGCTCTTGTTCGTATTCTTCTTCGGGCATCCCTTCTCCCCCTCCTCCCTCTTCACAAATCTCCCCTCCCCTCGGCCATGCGCTGCAGAAGCGCGAAGATTGGTGTCTTCAGAGTAGAGGTATCTGCAGCGTGCAGCAGGACTCGTTCATCACCGACGGCCGTACATTGGGTGCTGGCAGATGTGTTGAGACGATGCTCGCAGGAAGTGGCTACAAGATCCCTCGACCGACGTGCACGATTTGTGCGCCGTCGCGGTGGAACCCTTTCGAAGGTTGGGAGTTGGGTGGGTGAGAGGATAGTTAGCAAATCGTGGCCCGAGGCACATGCGCAGCCCAAGGGGGGTTAAGGGACATGTTGAAATAAGAAAAGGGGCCATGAAATCCTGGGAGACATCATGGCCCTGGCCATGACGGCCACCCCCCCCGTTAGTCTTCACCCCTCTCTTGGCCGCCCCTGAGCGTGGCCCCCGAGAGCTGCCCCGTTCGTCTTCGGGTCATAACTCGGATCTCCGGCGGCCGTTCGGGACGATCCTGGCGCCCCCGGAACACCCTCGGCGAGGCGCAGCCGCTGTATAGCATCACGAGGCTGGAAAACCGCTGAGATTCGAGGAAAACGCCCGAAAACCTCGAACCACGAACCTCGAACCTAATCCTACCCCAGGAATCACCCCCCTCCTGGCCGCCCCCGAGATACCGAAGTGAAGCGGAGGGTCCACCAGCTGGGAGATCGGTTCCAGTTTGGGCTCGTGCCGCGCGCGCGCGGGAGACGGAGTTGCTCGAAGGCGAGGTGGGTCTTGCCTTCCGAGGCCCAAGCCAAGCCCCCCAAAAAAGTCGCGCGCGCATCAAGGACGTGCCGCGGGCTATCCCACGACTGTCCCGCGGTTCTGGTTTTCCCGTGGTTGTTCTGTGGTTGTCCCGTGGCGTGCCCGTGGCGTGCCCGTGGTCGTCCCGTGGTCGTCCCGTGGCCGTCCTGAATGTATCCCGTTTGTGGATACTTAGCTGATGGGGCCGATGGATAGGTAGCGAACCCTATGGATGGATTGCCAATGTGACCGACAGATAGACATCAGGAACGATATATTGGGAATATATATATATAAATATGTAAATATAAACATACATACATACATACATACATACATACATACATACATACACACATACATACATACATACATACATACATACATACATACATACATGCATGGCATGCATGCATGCATGCATGCATGCATGCATGCATGCATGCATACATACATACATACATACATACATACACATATACATGCATGCATGCATGCATGCATGCATGCACATATATATATATATATATATATATATATATATATATATATATATATATATATATATACACACACTGATGACGAAATCGATACATAAATTGCCAGACCGATAGACTGTGAAGTCGACTGGTCAATTCTTGGCGGCGCACGCAAGGGGGTGGCCCCAGGGGGGCTGCCTTCCAAGAAGACGGTGGGGTCGTAAAAGGCAAGGGCCTTCTCAGAAGGGCCCTGGGGATTTGCAGAAAGCCGCTTAGAACCCAAGAGCTGGGGAAACCAAAGTGTATCGATACCCCTACTCCGCGGATGATCTCTCGCGTGGTGCGTTCTGGCCAGAACTTCGAGGAGAATCCAGCAGCGGTGGCGACGAGGGCCTCCCAGGAGGCCCAAAAAGGGGAGAACGAGGCAAAGGTAGCGTTATTGGTACCTCCTCCTCCTCCTCCTCCTCCTCCTCCTCCTCCTCCTCCTCCTCCTCCTCCTCCTCCTCCTCCTCCTCCTCCTCCTCCTCCTCCTCCTCCTCCTCCTCCTCCTCCTCCCTCCTCCTCCCTCCTCCTCCCCCTCCCCCTCCTCCTCCTCCCTCCTCCTCCTCCTCCTCCTCCTCCTCCTCCTCCTCCTCCTCCTCCTCCTCCTCCTCCTCCTCCTCCTCTGAGGAGGAGGAGGAGGAGCGCTTCTGAGATAAGAGCCCTTCTGACTGCTAGAGCCAGAACGGTCGCGCACGATGAAACCCGTCATCAGAATCTCGTGTGAAACCCGATCCGAAGCATACAACTCGCTTGCGTAGAAACGGACGCGGAACATACGGTAGCGAATCGGGGGGGACTGTTTCTGTACTGCACTCTTTGGGCCCTGGGCTTAGCATGGGGCGCACCTTGTTGAACAGAACGCGACCTGAGAAACCTTAGCTCAAATTCATCCTGATACCGATGCCCGCAGGCCTGTCGAATCTGTTCTCTGAGGGCCAGCACTGCAATGCTGGGCTTCCCCTTCGCGCCATCGAATCTCCTGCGACGCACAGCAGCGCTGTGCGTCCAGCATATGTAGTGTGGTGCATTTGCACCACGCAAGAGAGACGGCTCCTCAGAGCCTCATTCGCTGGCGGCCTGCTCCCAACAGGTTCTCAGTCATCTGCGCCTTCAATTAGCTGTCCGTGGTACCTGCCCAGACGAATGCACTCGGCGCACAAGTACACTGCGCTCCACGCCCAGTAGGGTTTGATCGGCACCGTCTGCGCGTGCCGGCTCGCCTCGCTCTCCACGAACGCCAACTGTTCCTCCATCGGCGGGGTCTCCACCGGCTCGAGCTCGTCGTCCTTCCCCAGCTCCCGGAGCACCTTCAAGAACCTGATTGGCGCCTTGCAGATGCGGTGGACAATCCAGGCGGAGGAACGCGATCGCCAGCGTCGACCCGAATAACACAGTGATGGTAGCCGTCAAGATCTGCACCATCGCGGCAGGGCTGCCCATGACCATCACGGCATGGCTCGTCGGAACCATGTCTCCAACTCCTTGAATTCCTCCGAGTAGCGTCGCCGCCAGCATCACTCCGAACACCTGAGAGCGCCCCGAGGACGGCGTCCGAAGTGGAAGCATCGCCAGCAGCTTCAGGAATCTTGGCACATCGAGCGGCTTGGCCTGCACGTTTGCCCCGTTCACCTCTGTGTGGATCTTCGCCATAGAGATCGTCTCGCCCCTGACATTCTCCTGGGCCCAGAGGCGCTTCGTCTCCAGGTGGCGCGCCTTCCCGCAGCCGAGATGCGATGCGACGCCCGTGGCCCCCGAGCTGCCCGCGTTGACCTGCAGCGTGGCGTCGAGCCCCATCTCCAGCGGCACGTTCCTCAGCCAAATGCCCCTCGCCGAGCCGTTCACGATGCCAGTGAACTCCGCCTCCGCGCTGCTCAGCGCGCGGCTGCCTTGCCGGCCGCTCCAGCCGTCGATCAGGTGAGAGCCCATGAACAGGAACCCTCCGCCCACGGATCTCCGACCAGGCTCCGGGCCCAGTCGCTGCCGACCTCTGCCGCGATCGCCGCGGGCATCCTCTGGAACTCCAAGGAGAGCTCGAACTGCGGTTTCTGCTCCAGATGGCTGGCTAGGCGCTGCAGCAATAACCAATGATGTCATGTGGAAGCGGTCGCGCCTCTCATGAGGTATCCCACGGCCTGCTGGACGTCGAAGAGGTCGCGGGCCACGCACAAGGCGGTCGGCGCCACGCCGCGGCAGGTGGTCGCGCACTCCGAGCTGAGCTCGCCCGCCGACTCCCTGCAGTCTGCGCCGACGGTCTCTGGCGAATGCGCGATCGTCCTCTTCGTAGAATTGCTCTCGCCGACCTATTGAGCATGGTGCTGACCAAGATCGTGACGTGCTTGCGGTCATGCTGGATGCCGAACCCTTCAGGGCGCCGTATGACCGCCCTCTTGAGGAAGCTCCCTGACTCAACTCCTCCTTGCCCGGGGTTGCCAACCCTCGGCATCACCCTGACCTTGATGTGCCCCTTGATCAGGCTTTCGAGCCAGTGCAGGGAAGCCCGCCTTCCTCCAGCTAGGTAGTCATCGCCATGAACGATCACTAGCAACTGTCTCTCCTTGCGGTAGAAGACCTGCACCGTCACCTTGATCCGCGCGAAGCCGCCCTTCTCCATGACCTCCATGATCAGGTTCTGGATCAGGAGGGAAGCTCGCCTCGTGCCGTAGAGCGCGCGCCTCAGCTGGTAGACGACGCCCTCGGGATCCTCACCCCGAGGCGGAACCGTGTAGATATTCCCATCAATGCACGCGTGGAAGAACGCTGCGGACACGTCGTAGAGGGCGATCATGTCATCGCGGCCGGTCCCCGTGGAGTAGAGACTAGAAGCGAAGGAAACCACCCGCCGAAATGCTGCCAGTGGCGGCGCCCCCACGAAGGCGTCGCACCTCGCGTCCCGGGCGAACTGCGCGGCCAAGAATCGCGACCTCACTGACTCCTCGCTGCGCTCGCTGCAACGCTCGTCGTCGCCCCACTTCCCGCGGACTCGTTTCCCCTTCGCGAGACTCTTCGGCAATCTGTCGAAGACCTAGAACTCCCCCCTCTGCCTGCGCTCCTTATCCCTGCCTATCCCCACCAAGGCATGGTCCAGCCTCTACCCAGATCTCACTCCGAAGACGCCCTGGTAGGTCGACTCGCGGTCGCAGAAGCCCTGGTCGCTGGTGCCCGAATCGCTGTCGCAGGGAATGGCGTCGCAGATCAACGCGAACATCGCCGTCGCCAGGTTGACAAACAAACCTGCGATCACCTTCTGCCTCGGCATGCGCTTCACCTCCTCCAGGGTGCCGTCCCACTCCACCTCGATCATGCCCAGCCCCATGCCGTCGTGCTGCGGCTGCTCTGGCGATCCTCTTGCATCGGATCTGCAGGCGCGTCTGCATCCAGTTGACGTCGTCGCGGTCGTGCTCACTGGTCGGCTTCAGCCGCCGGCGGTGGTCCAGGTGCCGCAGCTGGTTGCTCTGGTCCTGGAGCTGGCCATTGGACTGGCTGCGCGCGTTGATATCCTCCCCCAGGTAGTGCTGCAGCTGCTGCCGACGCCGGGGTTCGGATCGCTGCTTCCTGCTTCTCCTCCTCCTCCTCGGTCATCAGCAATCTCTCGACGCGCCCTCGGCGCGCTTCGCTGCGCGGGCTCCCCAGTCCGCAACGTCCATCGCATCCAGGCGTCGGCACCGCTCGGTCGATGATGGCCCTCGCGATGTAACGGCGGCGCGGCGCAGGTGGCGCCGCCTCTGGCCCTGCGCGGATGACCCACGGCGTGCGCTCGACCTTCTTGAAAAGGCTCTTGGACCAGCGCTGCTTCTCTACCCGTCCGGCCAAGCTTCTCGCCGTCGTCCTGCCAGAAGCGGTCGCCATGAGGTGCACGTCTGCGCGGTTGCCCTACCCGACCCAGATGGCCTCAGCCCAGCGGATCCCCGCGTCGTGGCAGGATGCGTTCTGGATCTTGCACATCGCCGACTCGCCGAACACGCCGATCGCACCGCCGCAGGCGCGGCCCTTTTCAAGCGCTGGCAGGGTGCGAGGCCGCCCTTTTGTTTGGGCACCGCGACAGGATCCACCCAGAGCGTCGAATCGCCCAGCCCATGAACCAGCGGTCGAGCGTGAGCGCGGCGCTGCAGCGAGGCTCGACCGAGGCCCTCAGGGCGCGGAGCATGCCCTCGACCATCTTGTTGGCATTCTCGATGGCCCCATTTGCTCTTTGAGCCCCGCCTGGGCCCACTGCGCAGAATGGCCTCCTCCTCCTCCTCGCGAGCCCACTGCACAGCTCGAGCCACCGCCTGGATGGCGGGCTCGCCATCAGCGCCGAAGAGAACGCGGTCGGGACCCCACATGCGCATCGCCGCAGCGGTCACCGCCACGGCCTTGTCCGCTGGCCCCATCCACGCTCATCTGCGCGCACTCGACCACCCCCAGCAGGTACTCCAGGATGTCGAGCACCGCGCGCGGGTCGCCCTCGACGTCCCCGAGAAACAGGTAGTCGATGCACACCAGCGGGATCAGGCGGCGAGGATCGGCGAGGCGCGCGCGCGCGGATCCTCCCGGCCGCGACCCGCGATGCAGCGATGCAGAAGAGGCACCACATGCGGAAATGCCGGTGCGCGAGCCGATGCTGATCTCGAACTGCTCGGTGTGGCCCGCTGACACCTTGCGCAGAGCTCAATCGCCACGTTGTCGTCGAAATCCTTCGCGCTGATCTACATCGGGGTCCCGCTGGTCCTTGGCGTCACCAGCAGCGGGCGGCGCCAGCGGCGGCGGCGGCGCCGCCGCTGCGGCTGCGGCTCCAGGGCCGGCGCCCCCTTCATCTGCGAGCGCTTCGCGTGGTACGTCGCGCGCCTCCGCGCTCGGCTGCACGGGCTTGACGTAGATCGGCTCGGTGACGTTTTCGGCGGGCCTCCTGGTCCTGAGCCAGAAGGTCTGCCCGCTCATGTACAGCTCGATCTTTCGTCCGTCCGCCAGCAGGATGCAGGGATCCTTTTTTCCCAGGATCGGGACGTGGCCGCCCTCCGTGAAGGCGTCCGCGCTCACGATCGCGCGCTTCGCGTTCGCCACCTGGAACTCGGTCTGCAGGGGCGCGCCGTCGCTCTCTGCCAACACGACCCTCGCACCCATCGACTCTACCTCGCCCCCCGTCGCCGACTCGCACAGGGGTGGGCTCATAGGCGGAAGCATCCGGTTCGCGCTGGCAAACTCCTTGGGGCAGGTGGTCAGCCCCGAACCTGCGTCGAAGAGCACCCAGTCGAACTCCACCGTCTCGCCGACTGCCACAGGAAGCGCGTCGCAATGCGTGGCGTTGTAGAGCACGCCGACCTGCCAAAGGTACTCCTCAGGCGCCAGGACGCTCTCGCGCTGGGCCATGCTGACGTTCGCGACGTGGACGGTCGAGCTCGTGGATGCCGAACTCCGCTGCTGCTGCTGCAGCTGCATCGGCGCCAGGACCGCCGCCACGTGCGCCACGTCCACGGCAAGAGAAAGCCTGGCCTGTGAGCTAGTGCCGTTACCCTGCAGCCCAGTCGCCGTCGTTGCCGTGGACTGCGGGCCCCATTGAGGCTCCCGTCGGCGCTGAGACCTCCCTGATCTTCTTCTCGTCGGCCTTCTTCTTGCGGCGGTCTGCTGCTAAGTGGCCTGCCTTACTGCAGTAGTGGGAACTGCGGGTCTCTCGGGTATTGTCCTTCGCGTCGCCCTTCTTGCCCTGGGAGTCGCATTTGCTCCTGCCGTTGCCGTCCTTGCCCTTGCCTGAACCTTTGGAATAGGCGCCTGTACTCTTGCCGACGGCGTCGACCGGCAGGGGAACCACTCCGTCACCGCCAGCGCCCGCAGCTGCCCACCTTCGCTGCGCCGAGCGCATCATCGTGAGCTCCGTCTCCAGGTCGTCGTACGTCACCAGGCGCGACGCGTTCAAGCTGAGGTAGACTGCCAGCTTCTCGTTCTTGATGCCCGACATGATCACACATCGCTTCATGTTGTCTGAGATCACGTCGCCACTCTGGTCTGTGTTATCCCTGACCACCTGCTCGAACTCCGCCAGGCTCGTCATGACTGGATCTGGAACCCCGCATATGATGATACGACCCACCATGGCCGCGAACCTGTTCGCCTCCTTCGGCGCAAAATCCCGAAGCCCGAAGTAAATACCACCATGCCGCGGCCCCGTATCCTCGCGGTACCCTCCTGACCTCAACCTTCGCCACGTCCGAAGTTACCGACACCAGGATGTAAAAGAGCTGTGTATTCACCTTGGCGTCGAGCTCGTCTTGAGGCGTCAGGACGACGGCGGTGCGAAACCCCTGATGTAGTAGATCCCCCAGTCGGGGGTGGACCGCGAACGCGTAGGCCTCGAAGTCGAACGACCACGTCTTCCATTCCGAATACAGCCCTGTGAACGTGTGCGGACTGTTTAGCAGTCTGGTGTCCACCATCTGTCCTCCTGCGGTTGCCATATGACCAGCTGCTGGATCGCACTTTCCTGCGCGCCGCTTCTCTCCCATTGCCCGCCGCTGCTCCACCGCGTCCAGCCACAGTCGCAAGTTCTCGTTATCCGCGAGCACCTCGCGGTGTGGCGTCACATCGCCCTCCACGAGCCTCCCGCGCTCAGCGAAGGCATCCATCGCCGTGGCCGCCGCCGCCACGGCAGCGTGACCGAGGATCGCCACAAGAAGGGCGATCCGTCTTCGGCCACGCTCCGCTACCATCCGCGGAGTCGCGCTCGCGTTCTGCGATCAGATTGAGCCCCCGCAGGGGGGCCTGGAATCATGATGAGCTTATCATCTCAGGGCGCTAGAGCCAGAACGGCTGCATACGATGAGAACCGTCATCAAACTCTCGTGCGAAACCCGATCCAAACACACACACACACACACACAACTCGCTTGCCTAGGAACGAACGCTATGCATACGGTAACGAGTCGGGGGGGAGTGTTTCTGCACTGCACTGCAATTGTTTGTGTTATTAATATGCGTTTGATTAGTTTGTTTTAGAATGCGTGCGCGCGCATCCCCGCGCGCACGCCCTTCGGGCCACAATGTTGGGCCTCTGGCGGCCTCTCGAGGCGATCCAGCCACTCCAGGGAACGCTCTCGGCGAGGCGCGGCTGCCGGCGGGCAGCCCAGGGCGAGAAATGCGGGTGCCACGAGTATACACCACAACCACCTTCATCCCCCCTCCCCTCCTCCAGCCTCTTCTTCCTCTCCTCTCTCCTGGGAGAGGGAAAGGGTGAAGGAGGCGGCGGTGGCGTACCTTTGTTTGGGTCCTGTAAGAAAGGCTCCGACGACCGCCGAAGACTTGACCTGCGAAAACCTGCGAGGTGAGCTGCGCGCGCCGCCAACACTCACAATAGCGGCACAAAAAGCGGCGTAAACATCATGTCTCGGAGGTCCGCGCGGACCTCCGATAGATTATGGTTTGCAGTTTTTAGCTCTTCGAAAGGTCAGATGGCAAGACAGATGCCATGGGAAGATTCGCTCAGGAAACGATCCAGGATTCCCAGAGAATGTAGCGGCGCAGCCGGTTCGGAACATCAGGAAGCGTGGGACATTCTGGAAACCTGGGACATCTTGGAACGTGCCCGTCATCATGACCTCATGCTCCCCTGGGGAAGGTCCGGCCGTCCTTGCGCACGAACTGGTACATGGCCTGCCGCGGGCCCCACCCGGGGCGCGGGGGCGAGCCAGGGGGGCGCGCGCCGAGCACCGCCGGCAGGGGTCAGCACGGGCAGGCCGCGAGAAGGGAGGGCGAGGAGGGCGAAGCGCAGAGGAGGACTCGTGTCGTCACAGCGCAGGACAGCTGGGCACCGCACCCGCGAGCAAGCACCGCGCATCACCACGGCAAAGCTGCTCCAGAGCGTGAGAGGGAGGAGAGCAGGATGGCCGCCGAGCCGCGATGCCGACGAGCCAACGCGCTGAAAACGAGCCAGTGCGTCGTGAACGAGCCAGTGCGTTGTAAACGAGCTGGGCGCGGAGGAGGGGTTGGGCACGGGCTGTGCCACAGTTTTGCCCACAAGACGTAAGGCTGCCGACGCCCCGACCCGCTCCGAAAAAGCTTAGCGAAAGCTTTCCGGTCGGGCTTCGGTCCAAATCCGATGGGCTCGTACACCCTAACTATATGATAGCATGTCTTTCAAAACGGTGTGATCATGACTCCGTCCCCCCAAACGTACGCCCAGAAATCAACCCGACTTCGACCCAAATGCCTTGCAATCACCCCGCAGGGGACATTTGAGCTCATCATGGTCGTCTTCGTCATCCTCGTTATCATGTCCATCCGGGCACGATGCTTCAGTGTACCCATCGGTCGGAAGAAGTAGGTGAAAACATGAAGTAGGAAGGCGTTGAAAGTAGATTGGGTGACCGCCCGCCCCCTAAAGAGGACGAAAAAGGTGAAGCCACTCGATCATTGGAATAGGAAGGCGCTTAAAGTAAATTGGAATATGGGAACCAAAAAAAAACTACTTTCAACGACCGATGGGTAGCCGTTGCTGATTTGATACAGCGAGACCCTGGGCGCCCGTACCCAGCGCGGTCGCTCTCGCTTCACTGGCGGACCATCGCAGAGAGCCCACGAGGGCTCGCGAATCCTCATTGGGGCACGTCTGCATCCTCGTGGGCCGTCGGCGGCACGCGGGACCCTCTGGGCTATCCTCCGCCAATGGTCAAAAACCGCAGTCCCCGGCAAGTCGTGAGAGGGGGAGGGGGAGGGGGAGCAGGGGGAGGAGGAGACGGAGGAGGAGGAGGAGGAGGAGAAGGAGGAGGAGGAAGAGGACCTCATCAGAGCTGGCGAGGCATCGAGCGCTGGCTGGCTCACTCCTTTGGCTTCTGTGGACGCGCCACCCATTCACGCGGTGGCGTAAGTGGCAGACCGCTCGTTCGGAGCGGCGCGGAGGCGCCACCCGCCCGACCTCGTCGGCGGTGGCGTAAGTGGCATGTGGCGCGCAGCTCGACTGCTCGTCCTGGACTTGTCGAGGAGGAGGAGGAGGAGACGGAGGAGGAGGAGGAGGAGGAGGAGGAGATGGAGGAGGAGGAAGAGGACCTCATCAGAGCTGGCGAGGCATCGAGCGCTGGATGGCTCACTCCTTTGGCTTCTGTGGACGCGCCACCCATTCACGCGGTGGCGTAAGTGGCAGACCGCTCGTTCGGAGCGGCGCGGAGGCGCCACCCGCCCGACCTCGTCGGCGGTGGCGTAAGTGGCATGTGGCGCGCAGCTCGACTGCTCGTCCTGGACTTGTCGAGGAGGAGGAGGAGGAGACGGAGGAGGAGGAGGAGGAGGAGGAGGAGATGGAGGAGGAGGAAGAGGAGGAGAGGAGGAGGAGAGGAGGAGGAGGGGGAGGAGAGGAGGGGGAGAGGTGGGGGAGAGGACAGGAAGAATGAGGAGAAGGAGGAGGAGGAGGAGGAGGAGGAGGAGGACCAAGAGGAGGTGGAAAAGGTGGATGAGGAGGAGAACGAGGACATCTTAAACCTAAGCCTCATCAAAGATGTTGGAATCCACCCTCCGTATGAGCTCCCTCTTCATAGGCCCCTACAAAATGCTCCACTGATGGAAATGTCCCTTTGGGGGCAACCGTACGGTGGAGGTTTTAGATAAGGATACCTCCGATAAGGAACCCAGGGTCTCGCGACCGATGGGAGGCCAAACGTGGACCACCCAACTCGCCTTGAGACAATAGGGAATGCGCCAGGGTCTGGGCCCCGGAAAGACGTTCCTTATCAAATGCCGCCGCCGTATGCAAATCTTGAGGCGTGCCAAAACACATTTCTCAGGACTACATCGCGAGTCAAACTGACTGTTGCGCCGTAACGATCCTGAATCGTGCCAACAGACCGAGCCTGGGACTTCAACAACCCGAATCAACAGAACTGTTGCGGCCTGACAATCCTGAATCGCTCCAAAGTGCCATCTGTGGCACGTTAGCCATGAGAGCCAGTGAAAATGCTGCAAATGTTTAAAACGAATATGCGCGGCGCTAAGGCGAGAGCCACATGTTGAAAAGGAATAGCCCTCAATCCGTGAAGCTCATGCGAGTTCTCAAAGCGAATACGCGCGGCGCTAAGGCGAGAGCCACATGTTGAAACCACCCACCCTCAATCCGTGAAGCTCTTACAAGTTTCAAGAATTGCGAATGCACGCGGCGCTAAGGCGAGAGCCACATCTTGTAAACAACCCGCCCTCAATATGCGAAACTCTTCAATTTGTTTTAGACGAATGCGCGCGGCGCTAAGGCGAGAGCCACATTTTCGAAGCGGCCCGCCCTCCATCTGCGAAACTGTTGTCAGTCTTTAAGCTTCAGGCTCACAAATGGTAAGGACGTCTCTGGCAAAACGCCCGGCCCGCCCTTCCGATTGGCCTCGGGGTGCGACAGGGAGGAGTTATCCACAAGGACAAGGAATGGAGGAGGAGGAGGAGGAGGAGGAGGAGGAGGAGGAGGAGGAGGAGGAGGGGAGGAGGAGGAGGAGGACGTGGAAGCGGCAGCGAGCGGGCAGGAGGCGCGCTGGGTCCCCTGCGCCGAAATGGGCGCAGGGGAAGCGCGCGGGTGCCACGACCAGCCGCAGGTGAAGGTGCGCGCGCGACGCCGAGGAAGCGAGGCGGAAGGACGACCCACAGACGTCAGACCTCCCGAGCGGGCACGGAATGGCCCGCCCTCCTGCGGCAGACCTCCAGGCTTTCCCACGGGTTGGTCTCCACGGCTTGGAAGCCCGCGACGCTGCGCGCGAGCCAGCAAAGCCCCAAGGCATCCTGGCGAGACTTCCTGGCACGAAGTCTCGTCGGACTACAAGCCACGAGCAGCAAGGTGCGTCGTCCTCACGTCGTCGATGTTTGGGCGGAGATCGTTCGCCCTCTGTGCGCCGCCGACGCGCCTCGTCCTGGCAACGGGCGGCAAGCGAGCAAGCGCGCGAGGCCCGAAGGCCAACTGCTCCGGGCCTGCTTGGAACATGGAGGGGAGGGGGAGGGAGAGGGCGACGAGGCAGGGCGGAGGGGTCGAAGGCGGGGAGGAGAAGGAGGAGGAGGAGAAGAAGAGGAGGAGGCGGAGCGAGGAGGAGGAGGAGGCGAGGTAAGAGGAGGAGGAGGAGGAGGAGGAGGAGGAGGAGGATGAAGAGAAGGAGGCGGAGGAGCGAGGAGGAGGAGGGGGCGAGGTAAGAGGAAGAGGGGGAGGAGGAGGAGGAGGAGGAGGAGGAGCGAGGAGGAGGAGGAGTAGGAGGCGAAGGAGGAGGAGCAGAAGGAGGAAGGGGAGGGCGAGGGAGGAAGGGGAGGATCCACAGAGGTCCCTCAGATGTTCAAGCCCCCCGACCCTTCGAATAGTTTCATGTCTATCCTCCTCCTCCTCCTCCTCCTCATTCTCCTCTTCCTTGCCATCTTCTTCTTCTTTGTCGTGATGCTTGTCTTGCTCCTCCTCCTCCTCTTCCTCCTCTTCCTCCTCCCACTACTACTACTTCTACGACTGCTACTACTATTACTACTACTACCACCACCACCACCACCACCACGATTACTACTACGAGTTCTGCTACTACTACTACTACTACTACTACTACTACTACGACGACGACGACGACGACGACGACTACGACGACGACGACGACGACTACTACTACTACTACTACTACTACTATTACTACTA